ATGCTCACGAGGGCTTAGCAATGTCCCGACACAGAGCTAGATGACAACTAAGTGATTGTTTACTTATTTATTATCCTATTCCCTTGATTCTAAGACCAACATTTTTTCCTTGTCCCACATTTCACAATTCTGAAATTACAACAGGCTTTACTGTCATTTTCTGTAGTGATTTATTTATCCTTCTGGGTTATTATTTTTTTTCCAGAAGTTCAGAATCTTTTCATTTTATTTCAAAATTTTAAAGTCATGTTTGTTTGTTTTTTAAACATCTTTATTGGAGTACAGTTGCTTTACACTGTTGTGTTAGTTTCTGCTTTATAACAAAGTGAATCAGCTCTACATAGACATATATCCCCATATCTCCTCCCTCTTGCTATCCTTCTGGCTTATTGTTTAGGGTGTAGGAAACAGAGGATTTTACAGACAAGGAAATGGAGTCAATGTGCTTTATCCAGGGTCAGGGAACAAGTCGAGTTGGTCATCCTAAGAATCCCCTTTATTTCTAGTCCTAAAGGGGAGAAGGAAGGGGGAAAAAAATACCATCTTGACTGGGGATGGGGCTCATGGGGCGCTTTATATGCCACCAGATGCTGGGGGCAAACTTTAACCAGAATGGAACCAGATGCCTTCCAGAAAGGCGAAGTTGAGAGAGAGCCTTCTGCCCAGCAGAGAACATCCACCAGGTTGGCTGGGGCAAGTTTCTGCTCCTGGCTCTATCACTGACTAGCTGTGTGAGCTTGCTCAAGTCAGGTAACCTCTCTGAGCCTCTGCTTCCTTCTGTCAGGTGGGGCTCATAATCTAAACTGCACTGTTGATTCAGGTGAGTTAATACCTGGGCAGACTTTGCTGCTGGGTAAGCACCCAGTGAATGGAAGCTGTTAGGTGTTCCCTAAAGGCACGTCTCTCAGGGCCACCTCCCGACTACAGTTTTGCTTGGGGTTACTTTTCTCATTCATTCTTCCCTCAACTGTAGAAATCCTGCCCACTCTTCAAAGTTTATCGCCAAGTGTTATTTTCTTATTCAGACCCTTTCTCCCCACCTCCCCCTCTGGATCTCTGTTGTTTCTTATTTGTTTTCTTTTCTAAAATTTTTTAAATTTAATTTCTCTTTTCTATTGGCATACAGTTGATTTACAATGTGTTAGTTTCAGGTGTACAGCAAAGTGATTCAGTTATACATATACGCATATCTGTTCTTTTTCAGATTCTTTTCCCTTATAGGTTATCACAGAATATTGAATAGAGTTCCCTGTGCTATGCAGTAGGTCCTCATTGGTTATCTGTTTTATGTATAGCGTGTATATGTTAATCCCAAACTCCTAATTTATCCCTCCCCACCTTTTTGGTAACCATACGTTTGTTTTCTATGTCTGTGGGTCTATTTCTGTCTTGTAAGTAAGTTTGTTTGTATCCTTTTTATAGATTCCACATATGAGTGATATCATATGGTATTTGTCTTTCTCTGTCTGACTTACTTCACTCAGTGTGATCATCTCTAGGGTTCGCCTTATGCCGGTTCTGTTTGAGATACCCCAGAAGATTGCCAACCCTTGGAGGGCGGGAGGCTGTCTTGCCTTTGCCAGCCCTGTAGCTCTAGCACGGAACATCGAGTCCCCCCTGCGTCAAACAGTACAGTGGTGAGCAAAACAGACACAGCCCTGTACCTTGACAGAGCCCGCTTTCCTCAGCTCCCACCCGTGCCCTGAGGTGATGCCGGCCAAGGAGAGAGATGTCCATGTCCCCCGGGTCAATTCAGCCGTCCTGACCTTGCTCATCAGCCCATGTGTCACTGGAGATGCTGCTGCTGCGCTGGGTGGGAGGGGGCTGGGGAGGCGTGTTGGCGCCTTGGCAGGCCGAATGGGGAGGGAGGCCGGGCGTCTGTCTGAGGCCTGAGCAGGGCGGGTGCAGAGTGGCTGGGGGGGTTCCGTGAGGAAGGGAGATGCGGTGGGGAAGCAGGGGGGCAGGTCTGTGCTGCTGGTGGAGGAGGCCGGGACCCGGGGCCTATAGCCGCATTAGTAGCTCTGATCCCTGAGTGGCCACCTGTGATGCTCATGTCTGGGGACTGCTCTGCGCGGAACGGGAGGTGTCGCCTGCCGGGCCTGAGCTGAGCTTGCCCCGCAGAGCCTGGGGTCAGTGTTCATGGGGCCCTGGGGCGCCCGTAAACCCACGGTAATGACCATCTGGGCCTTGGGCCTCATGCCAGAGCTGGCTGCATTCTTCCTGGGGGAAGGTGGAGGACACTGGAAAAACCAGTTTAGGGTGTGTGAGGCTCCATTGCCTGTCGCTATCAAGGGAGTGTTGGCTCCGGAGCCCGGAAACATGTGAAAAATCTGGGTTTTTCAGAAAGGTACAAGTGTCGATTCAGGTCAGTGAGACCCTTAGGAACTGGCACATGAGCAGGCCAAGAGTTTGGGGTCCATGCCTTTTCCTTCTGATGGAACGTGCTCAGCAGCGCGACCTGAGCGGTGCCGGGGCCTGGTGTGTCCTTCTGGTTTTCACTCGTCCTGGCAGCCGGGCTGGCGAAAGCCGGATGGACGGGTCCCACCTTCCTGAGCAGGGGGCTTCACCGAGTGGGCACCTCTGAGCCAGCCAGCGTCATGTCCACGCCCACGGCACCGTGTCCCCAGGATTGCACGGCGTTTGGCGTGTGGTTGTGTGCTCAGCAAATACTTGGAATGAATGACTGAATTTCGTAGTCTCTGCCTGCTCTGTTATTCACTGGGGGACTGAGTATATTTGTTTCCTGGGGTTGCTTTAACAAATGGACTGCAAACACGTTGGCTTAACACACAGCAGAAGTTTATTGTCTCACAGTTCTGGAGACCAGAAGTCAGAAATCCTCCAGGGCTGTGGTCCCCGTGGGGACTTTAGCGGAGAATCCGTTCTTTGTGTCTTCCGGCTTTGGGTGGCTCTAGGCATTCCTTGGCTTGTGGCTGCATCAATCCCATCTCTGCTCCTGTGGTCACCTTGCCTCCTCTTTTCCCTGTGTGTCCTCTTATAAGGACACTTGTCATTGGATGTAGGGACCTCCAGGACAAACCAGGATCATTCCTTGTCTCAAGATCCTTAACTTAAATTTCATCTGCAAAGACTCTTTCCAAATAGAAGGTAACATTCACAGGTTCTAGAGATTAGGGTATGGACATATCTTTTGGGGGACTACAATTTAACCCACTCCAGGGAGTCTTAATATTTTTTTTGTTTTGTTTTGTCTTTCTTGTTTGTTTGTTTTAATATTTTTCTAATCATTGCTTTTCTAGACATATTAAAGCTGTTAACCACTGGATTTGTGCTGCTCCTAGTTTGCTGTTTGCATTTACGATATAGATGTATATATATCTACATCTGTATCTGTATCTTTATCAGATTTCTCTTTCCCTCATTGATTTTGGGTTCAGAAAGTCCTTCCCTATTGAGTCGTCATTCACATTAAAACAAAACCTTAGGAAATTAGTTAGTTTTTTTTTTAACATCTTTATTGGGGTATAATTGCTTTACAATGGTGTGTTAGTTTCTGCTTTATAACAAAGTGAATCAGTTATACATATGTTCTCATATCTCTTCCCTCTTGCGTCTCCCTCCCTCCCACCCTCCCTATCCCACCCCTCCAGGCGGTCACATAGCACCGAGCTGATCTTCCTGTGCTATGCGGCTGCTTCCCACTAGCTGTCTACCTTACGTTTGTTAGTGTGTATATGTCCATGACTCTTTCTCGCCCTGTCACAGCTCACCCTTCCCCCTCCCCATATCCTCAAGTCCATTCTCCAGTAGGTCTGTGTCTTTATTCCAGGAAATTAGTTTTTTAATCCAGTGGTAACTTGGATTAAACCTGCAAAACCCCGGGAAATCTGCGTGAGGTCTGGAGTTCAGTTAATTGTACTGTGCCATGGTCAGTTTCGATAACCTACCGTAGTGACCTCAGATGCCATCACTGGGGGAAGCTGGGGTTGATACTCAGGACCTTTCTGTACTATTTTTGTAACTTCTTGTGAGTGTATCATTTTCACAAATTTTTAAACAAATTTTGATTAGATTTACCAAGAACAATTATGAGATCATTTGTTCTCTCTTATTTGTAAAGCATGCTTTATGAAGCTCTGATGTATGCTGAGCTGTTGTAGAGTTGTGGTTGAATTTACTTAATTTGGAAAAAGTTGACGTCATTTGCTAGGTGGTCTTCCCCTCTAGGAATGTGGCATATCCTATTTTTTCAAGCTATATTTTATTTTCCAATAAAATATGTGTAGTTTTCTTCAGGTTATTTGCAGATACTTTAAAGTTTGGGGTTGTTCTTATGGATGGATCTTTTCTCCATTTACATTCTTTCACTGGCTCGTGCTGGTTACATGTCCCCAAATAGAATCCCCACACCCTTTCAAATACATGAAATTCTTTTAACTTGAGAAAATGCATTTCATTCTGCAATTAGAGACAATGTTTAACAGGCTTTTATTCGTTCCTTTAAACCTGCTCTCAGGAAGGGTCCGGTCAGTTATTTAATGGAGATTTAAGTATCTGTGTTCTCCATCCGAGTGTATAGGGGGTGTTCTTCATAAAGAAATATGAAGTCGTGAACTTCCCTGGTGGTCCAGTGGTTAAGACTCCGCGCTTCCACTGCAGAGGGCACGGGTTCGATCCCTGGTCAGGGAAGTTCTGCAAGCCGTGGTGAGGCCGAAAGAAAAAAGAAAAAAGAAATACGAAGTTGTGTTCTGTAAATTGAACGCTAAGTGTGTTGTTTTCGATTCTATGTCTTTGAACATTGTAGAGGTGCTGTCTCTCTCCAGGGGTCACGCGCGTTACCTTGGGAGCCCCAGGCGCCCCTCCAGGCCACATGGACAAACTCAGAGCATGATCTGAGCTGTCCGTGGCCTTTGTTCTCTGCTTTGGTCCCTGGGGCCGTGAGGCCTGGGTGGGCCCTGAGGGTGTTGAGAAGACCTCTAGCTGGGGGAGTCCCAAATTTGAAGACAGAAATGGAAAATGCCCTATTATCCCCCCTCCAGGTCAGTCTTATGAAATCCGACTGCTGGAGAATCGGAAGCTGGGAGATTTTCAGGATCTGAACACAAAATATGTGAAGGTGAGGCTGCCAGCTGTGCCCTTCCTGGGCTCCTGAGGGTGCTCTCTCGGGGTCCCAGCACCCGGGCTTGCGGCGGGAGTGCCTGGGAGGTTTGGGGAAAGCTCCAGGGACAGAGGTGGGCTCCTGGTCCCTGGAGTGTGGGCCTCGGGCGGGCCGGCAGCATTGGGAGCTAGAGGGACGTGGGCTGATGGACTGGGCGCTGGGTTGGACAGACTCGGCTTCCAGCCTGGCTTTGCCTCTTCCCAGCCTTTTCTGAGCTTCAGTTTACTCATCTGTGCAGAAGGGTTTGTAGATGACCCCCATGTGCAGAGCGCTTAGCAACCCTGGAAAGAAGGGCAGCACTCGTGTTCGTGCCGTCATTCATATTGTTGGGGTTCTGGGAGGGGTGCGGGGAGGAAGCCTCCAGGCAGCTCCAGGCCTTGGAGGGCAGGAGATGTGTCTGGCTTGGGGATGGTTGAGGGCAGGTTCCCTGTGGGTCCCTCTCAGGACCCACCCTCAGCTGTCCCTTACTGCCACCCCTGCCCCTCCCCCCGCCCAGAGCATCATCCGCGTGGTGTTCCACGACCGGCGGCTACAGTACACGGAGCACCAACAGCTGGAGGGCTGGCGGTGGAGCCGGCCCGGGGATCGCATCCTGGACATCGGTGAGTCTCCCGGGCCAGGAGGGAGAGGCCGACGGAGCTCCAGGCACACGGGGGTCCTTCCTGGGTGCCATCCGGACCCGAGCCTGTCCAGGGCATATTGGCGCACTTTTGCCTTGTGTAAAACCCCACAGGAGCTGGTGGAGGTGACCGTGCCACCAGGCCTGCCCTCAGGGGTTCACCTTTTGCGGGGGCCTGGGATGGGGTGGCACGTGGGATTCAAGGACCTGCCGTCAGGGAGCGAGAAGCAGGGAAAGCTTTGCAGAAAGATCCTGCCTTAAAGGGTCATGATGAGTGATGAAGGCCCGGGGGGCCTCACAGAGAGGGGCAGTGGAAATGGAACTGGGGGCTCAGGCGGTGGCCCGTGGTTTTTTATCCACGACCCTTGGGCCCAGCTGGGTTTTGGAACTCAGAAGTTGGAATGACAGTAAGGTGTGTAGACCCATAGCTTCGGGTCACACCGCCAACAGGCAGTCAAGCAGAGCAATGTTCCTCCAGCAAAACAGAATGACTCTACACAATGGGGTAAAGGCGTCAAGTCAGGCTTCTGCCAAGTGAGTTACGCAAAGCCTAGTTTTCAGAACTTCTGGCATTTCGAATTGTGTAAGGAATTTGGACCTGTAATGAGAATCCTTCCTGAAATATTTGGGAGTGGCTGACGATTGCACTTTTGTGTGTGTATGTGCACAGATATTCCACTGTCTGTTGGTATCTTGGACCCCAGGGCCAGCCCGACCCAGCTGAATGCAGTTGAGTTTTTGTGGGACCCTTCGAAGAGAGCGTCTGCTTTCATTCAGGTGAGCGGGAGGGAGCTTGCCCTCGGTGGGGAAGCTGGAGCTCTGGGGTGCATTGGGTCGTTTCTCGAAACCATCCTTCCGGGGGGCCCTGATGGGCTCCTGCCCTCTGCTGCAGGAAAGGAGGCTGAAAGGGTGGATGGGTGTGGCTCAGAATCACAGGACTCGGGACGTTGTAGCATCCTGTGTGGGTTTTGCTTATCAGTATGTAAGCTTTTTACAAAATAAGTATGGCCTAGCATAAATAATTTGAAGTGAAAATTTTTTTCGTAATTGTTTCTATTATTAAATTAATTATTTAATTCTCAAGCACCTGGTTGTGAACCTGGCCTTGTGTTAAACACCATGGCAGATAGAGGTGGCCAAGGGCCCAGCCGGGGCCCTGTGCTTCCAGGCCTGCCCCTGGCTCTCTTACTGTGTGTCCCTTTTTGAGCCTCTTGGTTTTCCCACCTGTCTTATAAATTAGAGAGTGAAAATAGAGCCATGACCACAAGGCCTGGTTCATAGTGATCGCTCAGTGAAAGTGAGCGATCTTTTTGCCTTGCATAATTACGATACTTGAATTGCATTTTAAAAGAATTATAATAATGTTATCGTTTACTATTACAATAAGATGAATTGTATTATGACGTGATCACAGCGTTATAGCAAGAAATGTACGTCAAGTGCCTTCTGTGTAACAGGCACTAACGAGAAATAAAGAAGTGGTCCCAGCTTCTGGCCTGGCCTGAGTAACCTGGCCACCAGGCCCTTAGGGACTAAGCTGTGGTCCCTGCTCTGTGGTCTGTGGGATTTGCCAAGGGAGAGTTCTCAGGGGCAGGAGTGAGGGGGTCTGCTGGGGTCGGTGGGCCTGGAGCAACGGCAAGGACTTAGGTGGTCAGGCAGGGCCTCCAAGGTCAAGGGACAAAGGTGAGAGGGCAGGCCCTCTGTGGTTAGGGGATGGGGCGGCCAGCAGCCCGACAGAGTGGACAGCACTGGGGGAGAGCGGAGAGGTGGAGGTGGGTCTGACCGTGCGGAATGGAAACCTCCATTTGGAGAGGAGCCCATGGGCGGGGGGCGGTCCAGAGCCCACTCTCGCCTGCTTCTGGCTACCTGCCCCCCGCGTCCCCTGCAGGTGCACTGCATCAGCACAGAGTTTACCCCGAGGAAGCACGGGGGCGAGAAGGGCGTGCCCTTTCGGGTGCAGATCGATACCTTCAAGCAGAGTGAGAATGGGGAGTACACGGAACACTTGCACTCGGCCAGCTGCCAGATCAAGGTGTTCAAGGTAGGACGGCCCCGCCAGCTCCATCCGCCGTCACCCGGCCCCTCGCCCTGCCTGGGACGGCGATGCCAAAACACGGAGGCCCAGCAGGGAGTGCGGCGTCCCCATAAGTAGCCCCGGGGCTCCTGCCTGGACTCTGATGAGCCAGCCTGCCTGCTTTCTTCCCCACAGACGGCCGGGCTCGGCTCTACTTGACCAGAGTGGTGGGATTGGCACACTTGTAGATTTTTGTTTTTCCTCCCAAGCACTTTGGCCGCACATTCTGTAGTTGCCCATTAGATTCTCCTTAGAAGTCAAGTTAGGAGACCTCCCGTGTTTATTTGTTTTTATTGAAGTACGGTTGATTTACAATGTCGTGTGAGTATCCGGTGTACAGCACAGTGATTCAGTTATACATATTCACGTATCTATTCTTTTTCAAATACTTTTCCCATTTAGGTTATTACAGAGTATTTCCCTGTGCTGCACAGCAGCTCCTTGTTGGTTATCTGTTTTACGTATGGTAGCGTGTATGTGTTAATCCCAGCGAATGTTCTTCCCTTGCCCCTGCACAGTGGCCTCCTGGTACCTCCCTTCTTTTCCTTTCTCGTCTCACCCCCTGCAGTCTCCTGCCGTTGCTTCTCACCTCATCCGTCTGGACAGAGTATTTCCTAAAGACGGTCCACAGTGGTGTAGCTCAGGGTGGCCCCGCGGGGAGGGAGGGTGGCCGCGGACCCCGCATCATCCTCAGGGTGGGCGGACCGGTGCCGAGCCGGACCACAGGTCCCGTCGCCAGCAGGCTGGACCTGCCCGCCGGCCAGGAGATCCCAGCAGGTGCCCCAGGACGGGGCGCGGACCGGCGCCAGTGCCTTCCCCGTCCTTCCCGTCTTTCACAATCAGGGGACCTGGGGACTTACCGACAAAGTTCCGTCTGCTGGGGCTGGAGATGCCAGAGTGATCGGCCGTAGAAATAGGGCCTCGTCCCAGAGGAAGCTGGGTCAGTGTTGATCTTCCTGAGCTTGGGATGGATGTGGAAATAAGTGCCCACAGGTAGAACCATCAACCTGGTGGTGGAGTGGTGATCTGGCCTGTTTCCCAACTGGACTGGAAGGCCCTGAAGCTGCCCGTTTCTGCACGCAGGCCACACAGCCGGGCGGCTGGCTTCATCCCCACTGATAGCGTCTGGCCGCCCGAGGGCTGTGGGCAAAGGGTCCTGAGGCCCTGGCCGGGCTCTGTGCACTGGGACACCTCGGTCAGTTAGCGCTGCCACCCTGGGTGGGGAGGGAGGGATGGTGGGGGGGAGCGTGAGTTTGTCTTCTCTGCCAGGGCGGTAGCACCCTCCAGAAACCTGCTGCATCATTATGAAGCCTTGAAACCGGCCTCCGAAGGAAGTTACATTTCTGCCCCATATTTGTTTCCTCTTTCTGCTGTAAAAGAATGACCCAAAGTTGAGTGGCTCAGTACTACATACTGTCTTTTAATGCTGGAGGTCAGAAGTCTGAACCCGGTCTCACTGGGCTAGAGTCGGGCGTCACGAGGGCTGAATTCCTTTCCGGAGGCCCCAGGGGAGAATCTCTCTTCCCTTGCCCTTTCCGGCTTCTGGAGGCCTCCGCATTCCTTGGCCTGTGGCCCCTCCTCCATCCTCAAAGCTGGAGCAGGTAGAGCCCCGCTCACACGCATCACCCTGACTCCCCGGCTCGCCCCCGCTCCACTTCTAAGCCCCTGTGATTACACTGGGCCCACGGGATGATCCAGGCTCATCTTCCTATTTTAATCTCACGTTGTTGGCCATTTTAATTCCATCTGCAACCTCGCCCCCTTCTGCCCTGGAAGGTAACATCCTCCCAGGCTCTGGGTATTAGGACGTGGCCATCTTTGGGGAGCATTAGTCTGCCGACCCCGTCCACCGGTGCCTCTGGTCTTGTGTGTGCTCCGGGGTCCAGGGTGATTCTGGCTCACCCTGGACAGCTCCGAGGCTGTGCAGCGGGTGGCCTCTGCCTGTCCTGCAGTCCCACCCCCTCCCTGTCACGCACAGACCAGGTCCAGGGTTCCACCAGCTGTCTTCTGCCCTCAGGTGGTGGGCGCGTCCAGTGTGATTCCAGCGCTTTCCGAGCGCGTGCCCTGGGAATGGGCGCCGGCCGGACGGTAGGAGGGAGGCGCAGTCTGCGCCAGGGACGCCTAGCCCTCCCCATGGCTCCCGTGAGCTTCCCCTCCTACAGCTCGAGGCGGAAGCTCAGGAGTGAGGGCTCTGCTCAACTTCTCAGCCGCACACCAGGCGTTATTGGGGGACTGGGGCCGGAAGCTGCCTTACCATCTCCTGCAGGGGGGTAGGAGCCTCTGATACCCGAAACGGGCTCCCCAGAATGCCTGAGGTGACCTGGCCAGCCCCCCAACCCGCACCAGCAGCAGCTCAGACGGGTGTGCACTGGCGCCAGGCACAGCCCAGCCGAACCGCCCGTCACTCTCCCGTCTCAGATCACCCTGGTTACTAGGAAGCCCTGGCTTCTCAGAGCCCGGCCCTGGGACTCCATGGGGGTGTCTGGGCCGCTCCCTGCCCCGCTGGCTTCCCACAGGCTGCCCCCTACAGGCAGGCTCAGCCACGCTTTACCAGTAATGCTTCTGGGCCGGGAAGAAGGGCCTCCTTTCTGGGACAGGAGGACAGGAGGATGGAGGTGGAGCAGGGAAACCAGATGATGGGGGCCCGGCTGCCGCATGTCCGGCTCTCCCACTGGACACCGGGTCTGTCACTCACGTCCCCATAGGACCCCCAGCAAACCTCCCTCCCTCCAGCCTGGGCATCCCCCTGAGGGCTATTTCCTCAAATCTCCTGAGCTGGGAGTCAAAAGCTGCAGCCTGAGGAAGGTGCCCGCCAGGATGATCCCAAAGGCGCCATCGAGCTTGAGGATGAATTTTCCTCCCTGACTGCCCACTGCATGTGGTCCACTGCCTACAGAGTAAAGCGCTCAGTTCTGGGTCCTGTGGACTCTTGATATCTGGCCCCGACCACCAGACCCTGAACTCAGGAGGGGATAGTCCCAGTGGTCAGGATGGTCCCCATCAGCTGGGCCTCCTGGGGTGGAAGCCGGGAGCATGGTCGTAGTCCTAGGACTTGGGGGCAAGGAGGCCCCTAAGATGGCCAAGATGGTGTGCGATTGTAGACCGAGCCCCGGCCAGCAGCTCCCAGCTCATCCACTTCCTGTCACGGTCCACGGGGAACCCACGGAAGGCCCTCGAGGGGTCCTCTCCATTAGCAAGTGGCCACTGGTAAACCTCTGCTCCAAGCATTTCTGCATGGTCCGCTGAGTGGACCCTGTAGAGTCCCCGTAGGACCCTGTAGCAGGCTCTGAGTCCCTCGGGGTGGGAAGGGGCTCCAGGCGGGTGGACCTGTGTGTCGGATGCCTGGGAGGTGAGAGAGATGCTTTCTTGTCCGTGAGATCCTGCTTGGGCTTCTGGGTGAGGTGGGGAGTGTGCTGGCCTTGGGTGGGGGGGTCCACTGCTCAGCCCTGGATCTCCCCCTGACAGCTGCCTCTGCCTGCTTTGAACTCATTGGACCCCTGTGCTCTGCACTTACAGCCAAAGGGAGCTGACCGGAAGCAGAAGACTGACCGAGAGAAGATGGAAAAAAGAACGGCCCAAGAGAAGGAGAAGTACCAGCCATCCTATGAAACCACCATCCTCTCAGAGGTGAGCCGGCCGGAGCCTTCTGCCAGGGGCGGCGAGGGCTGGTTTAGATCCTTGGAAAAGTGCCCATTTGGGGTGAATGCTTCTACCGAGAGCGCCCGTTAAATCGTGGTGTGTTCCTTTGTCTGGAGCTGCTTTCAGTTAAGGCCCGGTGTCCAGGGAGGTGTTTCACAAGTACCTTCTAGCTCTCTGCTACCATTTGCGCATTTCAGAATTAGGTTATTTTTATTTTAGATTTTTGGAATAGATAATATATTCATGTGGCCCAAATTCAAAAGGTATAAGAGCATCTCCATCGGAAGATATCCTTCCCAGCACTGTCTGGCCTCGGTCTCTCTCCCCAGGGCAGCAGGCGACCCCCGGCTCCTTGTGTATCTGGCCCAGCGCTCTCTGCAGATGAAGCCAGTTCATACACGTTTGCCCCCCGACAGTACATACACACACTGTTCTGTGGTTGACTGTCTTTAATTCATGGCCTCTCTTGGAGTCTGTTTCCTGTCTGTTCATAAAGAGCTTTCTAGTTCTTTATCCAGCTGTGTAGCTTTCGTTGTCTGGATGGCCCTTTGCTGGACGCTGGGTTATTTCCAGGCTCTTGCCATTTCACACAGGGTACCGTGAACACCTTGTGCGAGTGTAGTTCTGCACGTGGAAAGAATGTCTGCAGCGTCTGTTCTCGGAGGGGGATTGCTGGGTCAGAGACTGTAAATAGCTCTCGTTCTTTGCTGTTTGGGTGGATACTGGGGTGCGTTTCCTCTCAGCCCTGCCGCTGACGCCAGCCTGCTCCAGCCGCTCTTCCGTCCAGGCTACCTCTGAGATGCTTCGTACCACAGGTCCCTTTTCCTCCTGTCACGGGTCACTGCTGCTACTGCCTCTTTTACTGGGCTCTGTTTTTGATTTGAACAACTCTTCCCCGCTGTGTCCTGCCATCGGGCCAGTTAATAGGTGTTGGGCTCGTCCACTGAGTAATCTGACTTACTCAGGAGGCCCTCCGTGGATGCCTCAGGTCCAGTGCTGACCATGGTGGGGTTAAGTCTGGGTTAAGGGTGAGGCCCAGGGACAGGGGGCTAAGAGGCCTGTGGGTGTGTGAGGGTGTGTTTGCGTGTGTGTGTGTGAAAAGCCATACACAGAAGAGTATGTGCAGCAGGGCAGCAGGGATGCTAATTCTGTGGCGTGGACAGATGCATGCTGGCTTTTCATAGGGTCGAGGCTGACGGTGGCCGGAGAGCCCTGGCCCAGGGAGTCCTGCCCCCTTGCAGCAGGGCAGAGCCAGCTCTGCAGTGTGTGGGGCCGTGCTTGGACCCTTAGCCCTTCCCAGGCCTGGTGTGTGCTCGTGATGCACCCCGGTGACCCTTCTCCTCCCGGCCTCTGCCTCTCCCCCGACTTCCCTGCTGGAGGACAGGTCCCCTGGCGTGCTCCAGGCAACGTCCCAGCCCCTGTCCCAGGCCAGGTGTTGAAATCCGCACCTGGCCTGTGACCTTGGGAGCTGCCGGATCCCCTCTTGTCTGCTCATCAACCTTCCTGTTCCCCCCACCCCCCCACCCCGGGGCTGCAGGATTTAGCACCAACACATTCCAGGCCTCACTCGTAACAGAGTTAAATATTGACCCACCCTGTGGTCGGGTGGGTGATAGTAAATCTCAGGAATGCTTCCGACTGGCCGTGTCCAAAGCGGTGTCATCACAGGGAAGGGAAGCAGGGAATGCTTGGTGCGCGGGCTACCCCTTGCCGCCCCCAACCAGGCAGCGCCCGACGTCTCTGCTTTCCTTGGGGGATTCTCGCATGTTCGTTTGAGCTTCCGCACGAGAAGTTCCTGGAGTTCAGGGGTCACAGCTTTCGTGTTGTTGCGTCTCCCTGGTCTGCAAGCGGGGGAGCTCCTGAAATGTAGTAAATGTGCGAAGACTTGGGTTGGAAGGGGGCTGCTCCTGGTCAGCGTGGAGACGCCTCGTCTGTCCCCTCAGCTGAGGCCCGTCGGGAGATTCTGAGCTTCTCTGGTGCTTTCCCGTTGGCAGTGGTCTGTGGCCCCGTGCTCCCTGTTTCGTGCATTTGCTCCCAAGACCCGCCTGTGGGCAACTGGCCTGTCTTGCTTTTTAGTCTCTTTTCTTGTGGACCCAGGAGTCAAGGGACCGATGAGGTTTCCCTCTTTGCTTTGACTCCTCGGAAGCTCAGACAGACACGTGTCATGCTTTGCTTGCTCTGGGGACTGCCTCTTCTCTGCCCTATCTGGTTTCTTCGGTGTGGCCCGAGCAGCGTGCCCGTCCCCGAGCGCCGGGTCAGCGTGGGCTGGGTGTGGAAGGATCGTGGTTCCGCACCGAGTGGCCCAGCCGGGACCACCGCTGCCCTGCGCTCTCTCCCTGCAGTGCTCCCCGTGGCCCGACGTGGTTTACCAGGTGAACAGTGCCTCGTCCCCAAGCTACAACGGCTCTCCGAACAGCTTCGGCCTTGGCGAAGGGTACGTGCGCCCTCTCTCCCTTTGCGGTCCCTGGAGTGACCACGAGTGTGGGCTCCTTTCCTCCCATTCCTCCCTGGGTCTCTGCTCCTTTTGTAGCCTGGCATCGATTTGGGTTTCAGGGCGGCTGACTGGTGTTAACATTCACAACCATTTTTAGCATCACATGTCCAGGTTCTTGTGCTTGAACACACCTCTAGGAAGGCTGCCTGCTAGGGCAGCCGAGCACCAGGCACCCACTCCCTCCCCCGGTTAAAGTGGGCTGGGCTGCGGGGGTCCTGGGCCAGCCCCCTGAGGTAGCCTGCCTGGTGCCTCCCAGGGGAAAGCCCACCTCCTGGACATTGGGGGCCTCAGGAGGCAGATCTCTGGACCCTGCAGCGGCTGGAGGGGCTTCATTTTTTTGGCCGCGCCAAGCGGCCTGTAGGGTTTTAGTTCCCGACCAGGGATCAAACCCGCGCCACCCCCGCCCCCCACCCCCCAGTGGAAGCGCCGAGTCCTAAGCCCTGGAGCACCAGGGAGGTCCCTGGAGGGGCTTCTTAGATCTTTCTGCACCCTCGTGCATGGTCACTAGGCAGTGGGACTCAGCTCAGGACCCTCCCTGCCCCTGGGGTCACAGGCCGGCAGCACAGAAGTGGCCTCACTGCTGGTGACCCAGCCCTGCCGAGGCACAGGCGGTGCTGACTCCGAGGTGACGGGGCTGCAGGGACCAGCGGGCAGCTGTCGCACCTGTCCCAGGGCCGTGGCATCACTGTGATGGCTCTGCCCATCCTGTTCGTGGGGGCAGGGTGAGGCAGGGAGGATGCCAGGCGGGTTTAACAGGTGAGGGTAGAACATGCGGAATGGAACCCATGCGTGCTAGAGAGATAACTACTGATGGGTAAGCGAGACATGAACTTGATTTACAAGGTGAGGACAGTCCTCCTTGAGAGGGGGCACAAGGAAGGGCTGTCATATTTAGATTCAGCAGACCTAGTCTTAAATCGGCACCTTTCTGGGGGCAAGTTCCTTAACCTCCTGCAGCTCCGGTTTCCTCACGACCGGGGGAGCATGAATTCCACGCAGGGTCAGGGGAACATGTATAAAGTCCCTGGCACCCCCTAGAACCTGATGACGTGCATCTGTAGTCACCGATGACTGGTCTAGGGGTCGTCCCCTCAGGGGTCTGTTTTTTTCTCATTGTGGTAAAATACACAAAACGTAAAATTTACCATTTTACCATTTTTAAGTGGCTAGGTCAGTAACAGTAAGTCCGTTCAAGTTGTACCATCACCACTGTCCATCTGGAAGGGTCGTCTCTCAATGTGTCTTTCTCTTGACATAAAAACCCAGGTGTTCAGGTCTCTGCCTCCCTTTGGGGAAAAACGTGAGAATGGTTTTCTCGTGGCGGATGCCAAACTGTGGGTGCTTGTTCGCTGCAGAATAATTCCCCGAGGGACTCCTCTGCCCTCTCCTGGGTGTGGCTGGCCCTTCGCTGTCCCAGCACTGAGTCCCTGTGAGGCGTGTGTCCCGGTCTGCTTGGTCAACCTGCCCTTCCCTCGTGCTGGGGCTTGGGGTGGGGACCACAGCATCTGGCCAAAACAAGCCCCGGAGCCGTAGCTGAGGGATGAGGGTGTGTAGTTAATCAGGACCCCCATCCACACCAGAGGCTTTGTTAGGGCTTTCCAGGGATGGAGCAGGTCTGTATTTTTCTCGAGGACCCATTTCATTTCAAATGAGCCCCAGAGCAGACGGAAGTGAAGGGCAGGCCGGCGAGGAGCCTCTCAGCCAGGAAGGAGCATCCTCGCCGCTCACCACCTCTCTTCTTCCTTTCAGCAACAGCTCCCCAACCCACCCGGTGGAGGCCCTGCCCGTGGGCAGTGACGTAAGTGTCCGCGGCTGGGCGCTGGCTGCCTGTCCCGTGCGGACTGAGCACCCCGTCAAGGCCCGTCCTCTCTGCCCGCAGCACCTGCTTCCCTCGGCCTCCACGCAGGACGCCCAGCAGTGGCTCCACCGCAACAGATTCTCCCAGTTTTGCCGGCTCTTCGCCAGCTTCTCGGGTGAGCTTCTCTGAATGGTGTTCAGAACCCACGAGCATCTCGGAACGCTCAGCATGTGCGCTTGGCTCCCCAGGGGCCGCGGTCTGTCCTGGGGACCCAGAGTGGTCACTTGTGGTCACTTGTGTGTATTGGCCCTGGGCCGTGGGCTCGTGGGCGGTCCTGCCCCTGAGGTGTCCAGCCAAGCGTGGCTTTGCGGCAGGACCGGCTGGGAGCCTTTTCAAGGTGCCCCTCACCCGCAGTGTCGGCTCTGCTTCGCCCAGAAGAGCCCCTTAGCCAACAGGCCGGTGCACACTCAGCAAGCCTCCCAGCCTTTTCCTCGCAAATGCTGCTCGTCGTGCTGTCTCCAGAGCCGTGACCCGGGAGATGGTGGTACAGCCACGGGCGAGAAGGGAAAGCAGCTCTTCCTTCTCTAAAGATTTTTCAAGCCCTTGCTGGTGGTCCCATCAGACAGCAGCCCTGAGCCGGGGGCATTGGGGGACAGGGTAACAGCCATGAACCTTGCTCCCCGGCAGTCGGCCCAGAGTGACAGAGAGTCAAGTGTTGGCCGAAACCAGAAGACTGGTCCTCAAGGACATCTGTGGCAGCGGAAGGGAACCAGCGCCCCATCCGTGGTCTTTGAGCTCAGCTTTTCTTTTCTTTTTTTTTTTTTTGGCTGCGCCGCGCGCCTTGCAGGATCTTAGTTCCCCAACCAGGGATTGAACCTGGGGCCCCCTAACCCTGGACTGCCAGGGAAGTCCCTGAGCTCAGCTTTTCTGAGCATGTTCTTTGTGCTGCGGGTAGACAGTACCAGGGCAGTCAGGCAGGGACCCTGTCCTCGGGCAGCTCTGAGTCAGCGCGGAGGTGTAAACTGCCCATCTCAACACGCCGTGTCCCTTCTGGGATGGGTAGGCTTGGTGGAGGGACCTGGGCCAGCCTGGGTGGGAGGAGGGTGGAGGGGAGCCCCCCCCTTAAGCAGGGGGTGGTGTGGGCCGTGCCGAGGAGGTGGCCTTGAGCAAAGCCTGGAAAGGCAAGGGCACGAGCCAGGTGGGTGTGGGAGGATGAGCTTTCCAAGCGGAGGGCAGGCGCAAGGTGGGGCCTGCCAGGTGTGCCTACGGAGCGGAGGGCCCCGATGATGGGGCCGAGTGGGCCGGGCGGCAGGTGAGGTCAGAGAGGCGCCCAGGGGCCCTCTTGGAGAGTGCAAGGAGTTTGGCTTTTATTCCCCATGGAAGGGGAGCCAGTATTGTACCTAAAACTGTATCTTAACTGTGGCAGGAAACGGGGGCGAACGCTGTGGCTCTAGACCACGTGGCTGTTGTGAAGTTTTCCGCAGAAGGCTGAAGGCATCCTTGTGCCTTCCGGAGTCCACCTGGGCACAGAGCTCTAGGGGACTCCTCGGGCCTCGAGGAAGGGACTCGCCTTCATCCACGTACCAGGATGCTCATAGATAGTTACTCATGATCGCCTCAAACTGGGAGCACCCCCAAAGCCCAGTGGCAGAGAGGGCCTACAGGAACTGTGCTTTATTCGTGCAGTGAATCCTACCTAAGAGTGGGCACGAATGATCCACAACTACATACAGCACGAATGAGCCCTTAAATGGAGCTTGGAGGGAGAGCCAGACCTAGAAAAGTGCTTACTGTTCAGTTCCATTCACACAGGTGCTAAAAGCCAAGCGAAACTCCTCTGCATGTGAGAAGTGGGGAGAGCAGTTCCCCAGAGGTGAGGGTGGGGGAGGTGGTGGCCTGTGGGATGGTGGGAATGTCCTGCCTCTTGACCTGGGCGCTGGGTGCACGGGTGCCCGGGCACATTCAGAACGGCAGCGTCGGGGAGCTGTGAGCTTTTGTCTCCGGACAAGTGCACACGCGATCACACTGATAAGATACATCACTGACAGTGATGCCAATAAAAGGTCCAGAGGGAGGGCCAGGCAGCCACAGGCAGTGAGGGCTTCTGAACCTCTGCAAATGCCCGGCGGTTCCTCTGCCTTTGTGAAGCCAGTTGTTGAGCTTCTGACATCTCTGGGGCTGTGATCTCCTCTTGCTGTTTCTCCCTGTGGGATGCCTGGACCCCCTGAGGGTGAGGCTGGCTCGACCCTCCCCCGGGGTCTGCAGGTGCAGCCCTTCCCCCGCACCCCGGGTCACAGGCGGCCCCATGTACCTGCCCAGGTGCTGACCTGCTGAAGATGTCCCGTGATGACCTGGTCCAGATCTGCGGCCCTGCAGATGGGATCCGGCTTTTTAACGCCATCAAAGGCAGGTGGGTGTTGGTGCCCGCTGGGGGCACAGGGTGTGGCTGGGAGGTGCCAGGAGTGGGGTGGCGGCCCCCGCGGGGAAGTGAGATGCTGTGGCTCGCAGCCCACCCTGCCCGGAAAGCCCCCTCCTCCCCTCCCTCCCTCTTCTCTCTTTGACGGGGGCCTTGGCCTCTGAGTCTCAGCCCCTTGGCCGCTTCCTCTGGTTCTTAGATGCTTGCACGGTCCTGGGCTTCGAGCTGCTTCCTGTTGCTCCTGCTGGGGGCGGGGCAGGTGTGGATGGTGTGGTCTAAATAGGCACAATGTGGACAGCGCAGTTTTCACTCCGGGTTTGAATCCCACATCTGCCTCTTAGGAACTTGGCAACTGGGCCAAACCCTTAACCCCCGTGAGCCTCAGTTTCCTCATCTGTAGAAGGGGAGGGTGGTCCTGGCTTCGTCATAGGTGTGTGAGGATGAAATGAGCTCAGAATGAGCCGGAGAGAGCGCTTGCTCTGACTATCACCCTGGAAAACCTCCTATGTTGAGACTGGTGCCCCGGGCGGAGCCCCACTCTGGGCAGGTTGCAGGACCAGGGTCGGGGGTGGGGGGATCGTCCATCCCCCGTGCCCAGCAAGCCTGTGCAAAGCTGTTAAGGTCCTTCCAGACGGGGTTCTGTCCCCGACAGCTCCTCGATGAAAGGCACTCTGTACCCCCGTAGCCTTCTTTCTTTCCCCCTAAGTCCCTCCTACTGCTCTTTCCACCCTGGGTTCTGGAACTTTCTGGAACAACAGAGCTTGGTCCCTCATACCTGCTGTTTATTTCCTTTCCTCCTGCCAGGAACGTGAGGCCGAAGATGACCATTTACGTCTGCCAGGAGCTGGAGCAGAGCCGCGTGCCCCTGCAGCAGAAGCGGGACGGCGGTGGGGACCCCAATCTGTGTGGTGGGTTGTGGGGTGCACCCCACACCCCTGGCCGGATAGAGGGCGGCAGAGTAACGGGAAGAGACACAAGAAGGAAAGGCAACATGAGTCCATGGCTGAGGACGCCTCCTCTGATCCGCCGTTCACGCAGGAGGAGTTCTTGTTGTACTTCATCCTAGGGGTGAAATGTTTAGGGTGGGCATCATCTCCCAGCATGGCTGGTCCAGGTTACCGATGTTCCACCTGTGGAAGCAGGGCTGGAGAGCAGCTGTGTCCCCTTAATGCCACTCAGCTACTCACGGTAGAACTGGAAGTTGGGCTTTCTGGCTCCCCGGCTGGTGACGAGTGACAGCTGTATTCCCAGGAGCGTGTCCGCCAGCTGGATGAGACTTTCCCATTTGGTTCGGTCGCTGCACAGGGGGGTCTCGGAGCGCCTCTGGGGTACATGGCTCTTTGGGTTTGGCAGTTTTCAGCGTCTTGCTTCTGAGCGTTGTGAGTGCCGAGTCTGATGAGCTGCCCGGCCCCACGCGCGGGGTCTGGACTCTGCATCGTCTGCAGAGAGAGCGCCCTATACCTCTCTGCGGGCCCCTCCAGATCAGCAAGGATGCCCAAGACCCTGGGCTAAGGGTGTTCCATTTTCTTCCCCTAGTAGGAACTGCTCATGGTTTGCTGTGGGGGAAACTGAGGCACAGCGGCTGCCCCGAGATGCCAGTGCTGTGAGTGGCAGAGCCAGGATCCAAATCTCCGGGCACTGGCAGTTGGCGTCCGGGCCTCAGGACATTTCTGCGAATGTCCAGGTCCTTCCGCCGCGGTCAGCCTGTGAAGGACAGAGCTCGAGTCTCGTGGTTTCCTGCACATGCGGTGAGGGCAGGCGCCCAGCCCACACCCCCAGCCTCAGAGGTGTGGAGAGCGCTGAGGTCTGGCTTCTAGTAGTGGCAGCGTTGGGATTTGAACCTAGGCTGGCCCGCTCGAGGGCCTCTTGTTTCTCCACGCGGCCCCCGATGAGAGGAGTTCTGAGCAGTGGGTGACTGACCGTCCGCTGGCTCTGAGCAGTACTGGTCCCCCCCACATTCCTCCAGGGACAGGAAAGGCCAGAGACAAAAGGTTACAGCCAGAGGGCCGCACTGCAATCCTCTGGCTCTTTTCTGCCAGCAGTCCAAGAGTAAAATACGAAAAAGTGGAACTGGCTCTGAAAAGTTGGGGGGAAAAGTTCAATGAGAATTCTGTTATAAAAAGGAATCTTACAACAGAGGCCTGGGATTCTTCCCTGGCGTTAGTTTGGGAAGGAAGGTTACACAGCGACCACATTCTCTGAACAGGGTCTGGGTGCGGGTCATCCTATTTGAAATCCTGGGAAGGCGAGTCTCTCGTGTGGCTGGAACCCCATGGCCTCTGCCACCCCTTCAAAGGGAGCCACCGTGTGTGCGTGTGTGTGTGTGTGTGTGTGTGTGTGCGCACGTGCTTTTAGCATACCAGGCCGCCGATCAGATTTGTTGAACCAAGGGTTCCTTCCTTAGTTGAGCAAGGAGTTTCAGCACCTCTTGTTTCATCCAGCTGTGTTTTACTTTTTAAGGGACTTGAAGTTCCTGGGCATTGCTTCATCCCCCCCAGTTCACCCACGGGGTTTGCTCCTCCCCGACTGGTTTGGGTTTTTGCTTCCAGCCTCAGGGTCCCTGTTGTCTCAACTGTCTGGTGATATTCCTGGTGCCCCCCCACCCCGCCCTTTGGGGTCACGGCGCTCCAGCTGACTATTGTTTGTGCCCTGGAGAAGGGTAAGGACAGACCCTTTCTCTTCTGCCGTCAGGTAGCAATTATCTTACGTCTCACTCTTGGCCACAGGGAGCCGTCCAGTAACCCCTTTAACCAGTGGAAGGGAAGGAATGCAGACACAGGATTTTCTCCTCCATAGCAGGCCACACCTCAGAATCACCGGAAGCTTCTAATAAGAAATGCAGATTTCGGCAATTCCCCGGCAGTCCAGGGGTTAGGACACTCGGGGGCTTTCACTGCCATGGCCCCGGGTTCAATCCCCGGTCAGGGAACTAAGATCCCGTAAGCTGTGGGGCACGGCCTCCCCCCCCCCAAATTTTTTTAAATGCAGATTTCGGCCAGCTGTTCCCCCTCCAGCCTCCACCCCTAGATGGGCGTCCTTGGTCCAGGGTGGATGCAGGGATTCTCCATTTTACACAAGTCCCCCAAGAGAGAATGAAACAGGAATACAGAACGGAGCCTGGAATCTTGTCAGCTGGCGCTGGGCCGAGAGGGAGCCTTGCGGCTTCCAGATGCGTCCCCAGTACAGCCAGAACCTGCGAGTCCATCTGGGGGTGGACATTCTTACAAGCACGTTACTGGTTTGGGGGGTCGGGGGAGAGGGTAGGCGGGCTCCTTTGAAGGCAGCCACTTGTCCTATAGAAGGCCCTGTCCACCGCCCTGCAGTGTACCACGCCATCTTCCTGGAGGAGCTGACCACCTTGGAGCTGATTGAGAAGATCGCCAACCTGTACAGCATCTCCCCGCAGCACATCCATCGGGTGTACCGGCAGGGCCCCACCGGCATCCACGTGGTGGTCAGCAACGAGGTGAGCGCTGCAGCCCCGCCGGCCCGAGGCGCTGGGCCCAGGGCTACGGGCGGGAGCCGCAGACCCACATCCGAAATGTGCCCTGCGGGGCTTGGGGGTGACTTTAGGCTGAAGATGGCAAACCGGGTTCACCTGCCTATGGCCTGGTCTCAGCTGCAGGGGCTGCCGGGGGAGCTGGGAGAGAGGGGTCTGAGGCCACGACCACGGGCTCTGAACAGCTGTCGCCTCTCCATCTGGAGCCCCGCCCTCGGCCAGGTGCCCTGCTCCGCATCCCTGCCTTAGGGCGCTTACAGTCAGGGCTGTGAGGACTCAGGCGCAGGTGCTCACCCAGGGCAGGGGCGGGGGCTGGGAGGGGGCAGGCCCGGGAGAGGTGACACGGGCTGGGTTGATGATGGAGAGGCCGGGGCTCTCGGGGAACAGAGGTGTCCTCTGCTGAATGGTGAAGGTGCCACAGCCTTCCAGGGTCTGTCTCTGGCCACACAGGCCTCTGCAGGGCATAAGCGGCCCCTGACAGAGGACACAGATACAGAACACGGCCCCCTGGCGACCGTGCCCTCGAGTGATCAGATCCCACTGCTGGCTCCTGACGGAGTTATCAAACGGGCTTGATGACATGTTTCATGCGTTCCTGCCTGTTGTAGAACAAAAGCTTTTAAGCTTGTCTTATCCTGGACCCCTTCTCTTAATAATAGTAATAATAATACCAATAATGAGTTCCATCAGCGCTTCCTGTGTCCCGGCGACTGTTCTAAGTGACTCATTTAATCCTGGCAGCCTCCCTGTGAGGCAGGTGCTGTCATGAGCCCATTTCACAGATAGGAAACAGGCACAGAGAGGCTGCGTAATGGCCCCAGGGTGCACAGCTCGTAAGAGGTTGGGCTGTGGTGGGAAGGCTGGTGGCCCAGCAGCAGAGCCTGAGCGTCGAGCCCACAGGCTCTCCAACCACCCCTGAAATGAGGCGTTTACACAGAACTGTCCTGATAGGAGCAGAGGTGGAACCCTGAGCCCCCAGCCCAGCCCCCAGCAGACCCTCCACCCACCCTGGGAACTCTGCAAGCCTCAGCAAAAGATGATGGAGGGAACGGTACAGGAAGGGGGGCTGGGAAAGCAGGGAAGTTGTGGGCTTCGGAATTGGACCCATGTCCCCACCTGGACTGGCTCCTCGTAGCCGGGTGACCTTGGGCAAATCTACTTAATGACTTTGAGCCTCAGTTTCCATGTCTGCAAAACGGGGATAATTCTATCCATCAATCAGGCTGTAGTAAGGATAAAATAGAAAACAGTGTCAGGTACCGGCAGATGCTAAATTAGCCAGGCACTTGTTTTGGGAAACAAGTGATGGAGAGATCCTTAAATTTGACAGCGTGTAACATGTAAGGCTTTTAATGGTCTGTATATTTCATAAATCGTCATCATCAGGGGCAATCCTGTTGTCACTTGTCATCATAATTGCCCAAGCCCCCCCTACGTGGGAGTCCTCCGTTTCATGGGAGTTTCATCCTGGGGGTGGGCAAGGTGGTGTTTTCCTTCCTTTTTAAAAAAAAATATTTATTTATTTATTTTATTTTTTGGCCGTGCCGTGTGTTAGTTATGGCACTCGGGATCGCTGAGGCGTGCGGGATCTTTCCTTGCGGCGCGTGGGCTTCTCTAGTTGTGGCATGCGGGTTTTCTCTCTCCAGCTGTGGCGTGCGGGGTTAGTTGCCCTGAGGCGTGTGGGATCTTAGTTCCCTGACCAGGGATCGAACCTGCGTCCCCTGCACTGGAAGGTGGATTCCTTACCAGTGGACCACCAGGGAAGTCCCTTCTGTCCTTTTTAATTAAAAAGTAATTCACAATTCATAGAAGTCAGGCAATATAAGCAGAAGGCAAGTGTGAAAGGCCCTTATCTTCCCCACTCCCTTTTCCTAGCGGAGTTACCTTAGGTTTGATGTAATTCTGCCAGATAACTTTTTGTGTGTGTGTCCATTGCATGCCTGAGTGTGTGTAGGTGTGGGTTTTAAAAAACACACAACCAGGATCCATTTGAACAAAGGGCCATTGATCTGCAACTTGCTATTGTTGTCACCAGTTCAGAATTCCTTCCACATCGTTAAATCGAGTGTACGGTGGCTGTTTTTTGGCCCCCGTTTCACAGATAAAGCACATGAAGCCCAGAGTTGCTGGCCTGAGCAAGTCCTGTAGAATAGCCGGGAAGCGTGAAACGCCCTGAGCATCAGGCAGTAGCGACGACATGGAAAACTCGTCAGTTTGCATCTCACAAATGCATTTCTGCCGTGAAGACAAAAGCCAAGAATGCTCAGAACACTTGCAATTTCACAGGTCCCCGCAGGGGCTCCTTCCCCCAGCTTGCCCTGTGCGCCCCCCCCCACCCCCAGAGCAGGCAGTTAAGCCAGTGAAGCAGAGGACAGAGCTCAAACGCCACCTCGGCTAAGTAGGTGATTCGTATTCCCCTGGTCTCCTTGCCTCTTAACCCCGAATCAGTTGGAAACCTTCGGTTCTTAATTGCCCGGAGCACTGGAGGTGGCCTGGCCAGCCGTGCAGCCGGCCCCTGGGGTGCAAGGGCACTTCATTAAACAAGGCAGTTACTGATTAAGCCCGTGTGGGCCCTGCTTCAGGTTTGGCATGCCCCAGCAGTGGGGTTGCCAAGAGTCCCCGAGGGAGCAGGTCGGCGGCATAGCCTAAATGTACTTCATGCATCATTAGGGCCTGGGGGAGGGGCAGGGGTCGACAGGTGGACGGATTTGCAGGATCTGGGGCAGTCATCCGGGGAGGGGGGGGGCAGTAAAATGTGGGTTGTACTTTTCATCTGGAAAGGGGTTTTGCCGTCCCGTTGGCTAGTATGTGTGTTGTGGGTATGTTTAGGTAGATGTGTACATTTTTCATATTGTTTAAAGGTGTATTGTGAAATGCAGCATACATATTTAGAATAGAGGAAGCTCATTTGTAGAGTTTAAAGAGTAACTAAAGTACTCGATGCCTGCACTCAGGTTAGTGCGGTGTTTGTTAGAACTCCCTTTGTGGGCTAATTTCATGTTCCTCTCCAGTGCTGGTTTGAATTTTATATTGATCATTCCCTGGTTCTTCTTCAATACATTCTTTAATTTCACCTATTTTTAAACTTCATAGAAGGGGGATAGGAGTGCCTTCTTCAGGGACTTACGGTTTGTGATTCATGCATGTTGAGGGGCGCTGGAGGTCACCGGCCCTGTCGAGCAGCCGGGTGTGATCAGGTCCTAGTTTGTTCCCGCTGCTTCTACTGCTGGGTGACGTGAGGGCTGTTTCTAGTTTTCACTCATAGAGACAGCGCTGCTCTCAGCATTCTTAGGTGTGTTTTGTGTGTGTACATGCAGGAGCTTACCTAGGGCACCTGCCTGCAGGAGAGATGTGTGTGGTCATCTGTGCTGCGTCCCGTGAACAGTTGTAGAAAGCAGTCATTTGGATGAACGACCCCCCCCCCCAGAAGAGGATGCCCATTCCCATTGCTCTGCATCCTGGTTATATATATATTTTTATCATCGAAACAGCCTCATTTTACAGACAGCGCCTGGAGACAGGAAGTTGCCTTATCTAAGGTCACCGGGCTGTTAATCAAAACGAGAGCTCCAGAGCGGGGGCTGGTGAGTAATCATAAGCTTCCTGCCCCGCATTTGTAGACGCAGGGAGTGGACTTCTGTTTATCCTTGGTCCTCAAAGGACTCTGATATGCAGAGCCTACTAATCACTAGGGTTTCCTTAAAGCATTTTTTTCTTAATTGAAAGATGGTTTGTTTACAATGTCGTGTTAGTTTCAGGTGTACAGCGAAGTGATTCAGTATATGTGTATATACATAGATGTATTCTTTTTTTAGATTCGTTTCCCTCATAGGTTGTTACAAGATGTTGAATATATTTCCCCGTGTAAAGCACTTTAGTTTTTTTATCTGGTGCTGTTTACACACACCCGCTCCTGTAACGTGTCCTTATAGGGATCGGAAAACCCAGTCACTAGGAGAAAAGCAAAACGAAAGCAAATCAGGAACAATTTAGTCTTGTATTAAACGTTTACATCTTCATTCCCTTCCAGGCTTCTTTCCATCCTTTACATTCAGTTTTTGTTACTCGAAACTGTAATTGCTTTGTCCATCTACTCTGTATCACATCCTCTCCATGAGAGCTAAGCGCAAGCGTCTTCCTGCACTTGCGTAAACGCGGCGCCTGTCATTTCTGATGCTGCGAGCAGCTGGACTCGGTGTCGCTGAGGCTTTTCAGTCTCTGAACTCGTTGTTGAAGGGACATGGTCTCTCTTTTGCCTTTCAGATGGTGCAGAATTTCCAAGATGAATCCTGTTTCATCCTCAGTACCTTAAAAGGTAAAGCCCCCGCCTCCCTGCCTTCTCTTGTTTAATTAAAGGATGTTGGCTGCACTCCCCCCGGGTTAACGGAGTATCGGGGAGAGCAGGCTGGTGAGTGGGGCCTGCATGGGGTGGGCCCTCGAGAGAGTGTTACCTGCGACCATCCTCTGGGAAAAAGAAACACACACTTCCCGGGAAGCCTAGCCTCGGAAACGTGAGAAGTGGTGCGGCTGGCGCCAAGGTCACTTTGAAAGGGGAATCCTGGCCAGACAGTATGTGCTTCACGAACCCAGTGCCAACGAGAAGTACTATAAGTCCTCTACATACGAACCTTCAAGTTGCAAACTTTCAAAGATGCGAGCGTGTGTTCACGTGTCCAGTCACGTAAGTTAGTTCACGTGTCTGGCGTACATTGTCACGTGCGTGCATCCTCTACAAGTGGTTGTGCTTTTGTGTACTTTACTGTACAGTACCGTATAGAATACAGTATCTTTATTTCGAGCCCAGGATGTCCGGAAGCAGGTGTAGAAACAGTACTATATAGCTGATTGTGTTAGTTGGGCACCTAGGCTTACTTTGTTGGACGTACGAACAAATTGGACTCACGAACGTGCTCTCAGAATGGAACTCGTTCGTGTGTAGGGGACTTACAGTAAGACGCGTTTGAATGTTTCTAAAGTGTGGGTCTCTGGGAGGGGTGGGCATGGAATACAGCAGCTGAGTCTGCAGGCCGTGTGGATCGGGGACCCGGGGCTAGGTGGGACCAGGGGGACACGGAGGACCCACCTGAGGAAGGGGTCTGAGAAGGAACTCACATGCCAGGAAAAGTGGGAGACCAGCTGTGACCCCCTGTAGGGCTGGGGCAGGTGAGTGTGGGGGTTAGGTGGGAATGAAAGCCCCCTGACCGGGCCATAGACCCTGGACCGTGGCCCTGGACCCTCCCCCCTGTTCTCTGCATCTAGCCACCGACTGCCTTCAGAGGCCTGGGGGCCACCACGCCCGAAGCCTCCTCGGACATAGGCCCTTCAGTCCTTGGGCCTCAGGCTGTGGTGGAAAAGCCCGCTGTCAAAAAGAAACTCAACAAGGCAGCCGTGAAGGTGTACGTTGAGATCTCTGCTTTTGTCAGCTTGCTTTTTTCTGCACAGTCTCATTTGGGTGGCCTCTGCCAGTGTCCACGGCAGGGTGTCTGCTGGTACCCTAATCCCATGGCCCCCAGATGCCACAGCGCCCTGCCTTTCTTCCTGTAAAACGCCATGTTTGTCTCTTGCAGCCGAGAGCAATGACGGCTACCACGTCATCCTGAAATGTGGCCTCTGAACAGAGACGAGCAGGCAGCCACCTCCTACCCTCAGCCCCACGGACCCCCCTTGGATGTAGAAATCGCACCCTGGGAAGCTGCGGCGAGGAGGGGCCTGGCCCAGCCCATGAAAGCCACAGACCAACCCCTAGCCGAGACCCTCGGAGGCCATGTCTCTGGCGGGCAGAAAGCCTCCCCCTCCCCCTAGCCCCAGCTTGGGAGCGGTTCCTTGTTTTTCTTCCCAGCCCTGCCATTCTGAAGAGGCCGACGGTGGGGCATCTCCTCTGATGCTCCCCTAGTTGGAGGCTAGCTCACCGGGTACCAGGGTGCCACCTGTACTGGTCCCTGCCTTCACCCTCTTCTCTGGTAACTGGCTCAGTGATGGGGCTGCTGATGAAATGGGGGTTTGCGACTGTTCTCCTGTCTTCGTGTCGGTTTCCTGTCTCCGTGACCCTGGTGAGCATCCGTCTTTCCTGTTACTGGGTGGATCGATGGGAGTTGGGTTTATTCTGTGCCTCCTGCTTCTTTCACGTTTACCTTGATTCTAAGGGTCTGCTGCTGCTCGGAGCCCAGAGGCGGGCTCGCATCTCTTCACTGCCGGGCTAGACATGCCACGGGGCCACACAGACCTAGTTCTAAGGCCCTTGGGAGGGACAGGGGGAGGCTAGAAAGACTAATTTTAGGCACATTCTCATGAATATAAAAGGGAAGAGAACCAAATGATTCCTCTTGAGCTCCTTCGGTATAATTTTATTTCCTAAGCAATCATGGGTAAAGGAGGACTAGGAAATGAACATTCCATTGTAGGATCACATGACCTTGACTATCCCGACACCAGGCCCTCTTGAATGGACTCAGCAAATCCCATTTAGAGAAGACCTCCAAACTTGCCAAGCTTCCTAGAGACGTTGTATCCTCTGGGAGGGCTCCCCTTTAAATGTTTCTCTTTTTTCATTTGTAGAGGGTGTGTTTGGGGCATTTCACCTGCACTGGAATGGTTGGATCACCTTTCTTAGTGGCCTAACTTTCGGGAAATTTGAATATCAGTAACCAGTAGACTCAGCAATTAGCCTTTATCTCTGTTTCCTGGGACCCACTGATCTGTACTGGCCCCAGGCTTCAACTCTTTGCTCCTGTAAATTCAACTTATAAAGCATGGTGGGCGCTGTGACCAACCGAGTAGGACTTGACAGCTTTTAAAGTGGAGCTTTGGGGGAATATAGAGATGATCAGAACGGGTAGACCTTGCTTTACAGATGGAGAAACCAAAGCCCAGAGGGGCGAAGCCACCTGCCTGATATCACATAGTGATAGGGTAATGACATAAATTTGTCATCTAAACCAGGACACTTCTGAGAGTGAAAGGGGCTCTAGCAGTAACTGCGTTGGGACAACGGGTGTGGTGTCCTACGGTGTAAGGACAAGCTTCTGGTTCCCTCTCCTTTTTGGGGGTTGGGGGAGAGGAGCACATAACAGCTTTACTGAGATATGATTCACATACTGTACAATTTACCCGTTTATAGTATACAATTCTATGATTTTTTAGTCAATTGACAGAACCACCACATCAATTTTAGAACATTTTCATCATCCCTAAAAGAAACCCTGTACCCTTGGCAAGTACTCTCCTATTTTCCTTACAATTCCTCTACTCCTAGGCAACCACAAATCTTCTTTCTATATGGGTTGACCTATTCTGGACATTTCACGTATGTGGAATCATACAATATGTGGTCTTTTGTGACTAGCTGTTTTTTCACTTAACATAGTGTTTTCTAGGGTCATCCATATTGAACATATATCAGTACTGCCGTCCTTTTTATAGCTTAATAATATTTCATTCTATGGCTATACCACATTTGTTTATCCATCCATCATTTGATGGATATTTGAGTTGTTTCTACCTTGGAGCTATTATGAATAATGCTGCTATGAACATATTTGTACACGGTTTGGTGTACACCTATGTTTTCTTTTAGGAATATACATATGAGTAGAATTGCTGGGTCGTATAGTAAGTCTGTGTTCAATAACTTTTTGAGGAACTGCCAGACTGTTTTCCAAAGCAGCTGCGTCATTTTACATTCCCATCAGCAGTGTGTGAGGCTTCCAGTTTCTCTACATACTGATCAACACTTGCTACTCTCTGTCATTTTGATTATAGCATCCCAGTGGGTGTGACGTGGTGTCTCATCGTGGTTTCGATTTGCATTTCCCTGATGGCTAGTGATGTTGAGCGTTTCATCGTGTGCTTACTGGCCATTCATACATCTTCTCTGGAGAAATGTCTATTCACCTCCTCTGCCTATTTTCAGTTGGCTTATTTGTCCTTTTATTATTGAGTTGTATGAGTTCTTTGTATATTCTAGATGCAGGTCCTTTATCAGATATATGAGGTGTCAACATGTTCTCCACTTCTGTGGGTTGCCTTCACTTTCATTATAAGAAAGTGAACTTTCTTAACTTTTACCTCTGAAGGGCAAAAGTTTTTAATTTTGATGATGTCTAAGACACCTATTTTTTCTCTTGTTGCTTATACTTTCAGTGTCCTATATAAGAAACTATCACCTAACCCAGGGTCAAGAAGATTTATGCTTATGTTTTCTTCTAAGAATTTTGATAGTTTTAGCTCTCCAATAGTCTTTGATTAATTTTGAGTTAATTTTTATATATGGTGTGAGGTAGGGGTCCAACTTCATTCTTTTGCATGTAGATATCCAGCTGTCCCAGCACCAGTTGTTCAGAAGACTATTGGAATCCCCATAGAATTGCCTTCATACCGTTGCTAACGGCCCCTGATTCTTACTGGATCTTTTTTTCTGCGACATGGGGCTGTCATTAGGAAGCTCACCTTTTTTTTTTTTTAAACTCAGCCCATGTTTGGCTCCCCCATTTTTACACCTGGCTTTCTATTCTTGCTGTCTCCCCCCTTTCCCTGTCTCAGCAGTACTGGGTCACGTCACTCTCTGATGTTCTGCAACCTTTCTGGGTGTGTAGCTCCACACGTCAGTTCTAGGGCATCAAGACCAGTCATTTCCTTTTTTGAGGAGACAGAGTCGCACAGAAGTGGAATAACTTGCTCAGGGTCCCCCAGATCCAGGACTAGACTGTTGATCTTGTGACTGCTGGCCTTTCAAGGTGTCTGCCATTCACTAGACCCAAGAGATGCCACTACCCAGACCCAAGTGATGGCAGGCTGAAATCTTAATTCTAAAAATGTGGTAGGCTACTATTTTTATTTCTTCATTCCAGATGAGGGTCTAATCAAGATCTGGTACCTTAAGTTTGCTGTAGGTAGAGTCTTCTGTTCTCTGGAATGCACTTACAGAGAAGTAGAAAATAATAAATACAAAAAAAGAATACACATAGTCATTTGGTACCAAAATGTTTTTGCCGCCCAAATCAGCAGCTCGTCCCTTCCATAGGGGTCAGCTGAGCTAGCTGTAGGATTTTGGGTTTTGTTTCTGTTTTGTTCATTTTATTAAAGTACAGAAAAGCTGTAGCGCTCCCCACCCCTGTCCACTGTCTTTCTTGTGAGCTCTGAGTCCAGAGTCTGGGCCTGCTGGACAGGCAGCCCCTCCCAGAACTGTCCCCTCTGCCCCCACGTATTCTAGGCTGTGGCTTCTCGGCAGCAACACATTTTAAAAGGGATCCGCAGAGGGACAAAAGATAAACTGTGCACTTGGGCCACTGTCTCGGGTCACCTGAAGCTGAGTGCTTTATTCTCAGGCCATCACATTTCTTTGCTGGGCAGGTGTCTGTTTGCAAGGCTGTGATGAACCTTCTCCTGGTTACCAAGTTGCACCTTTATAATAAAGACACGGGCTTTTGAATGGGGGAAGGGCCGATGGGCCTTTGGAAAGAGCAGGATGGGGGAGGGAGGTCGAAATCTTGGTTTGGGGTCCTAAGCGAAGGTCAGATGTTGCCCTGGTGACCTTCTGCCCGAGGGCCTCTTGGGAAGAGCTGTGAGCCTAGAGGGGCCTTTCCTGGGAGCACAGTGGAGCTGCCTGAACAGTGTGTCACCAGTTTCCAAGTCCAGAGTGGCGTCAGGGGTGGGCTGAGTAAATTAAGGTCTGAAAATCATTAACGAGTTGACGAGAATGGAAAAGCCTCTTTTGCTGCTGTCATGGGGCAAAAGAAGGCAGCCCCCAGGCTCTCAGAGAAGATGGAAAAGCAGGTGACCAAGAGCCAGGGGTCCTGGGTCCCCAGACCCTCACTTGGCTTCTGCCTCTCTGGTCTTGCCTCCTCTCTGGGAGGCCTCTGGGGTCGTGGCTGACTCAGTCCTCGGTGAGTCTGAGGGGCAGCAAGGCTTTCCATCTTTCCCACCATCAGAGTCTTACTGTGGGCAGGTGGCGTGCGTGTGTGTATTTCCTCGTGGTACTTGGCACCTCAGATGCTCCCGCTTGGGCTGGTGCACGCACCGCAAGGTTTGCACACGTTTCAGCGTGAGGCATGGCATCTTAGCTGTGTCTTTAAGAATCCAGCCTAGCTTACAAGCGGGTTGACTTGACTCCATCAGCGCTCTTAAGAGTGGCCGCCAGCTGTTCCCTGCAGCCTGAGGCTGGATTCCATTGGCTGGCTATATGTCTACATTATAGATGCATGTGTGTGTGCGTGCGTGCATGCATGCCTGCACGTGTGTGTTTATGGATGCGCGTGGACCCCTTTCCCTACCCCTGTATCTGCCGTGAGCACAGCCCTGAGCATCCTCAGCTTACCTAGATGCGGTGATTACAGCTGCTCTCTTTAGATCTTATGGGATCCTCCTGGTTTAGACTCCGTTGACGAAGATGCTTAGGGCACAGTTGCCCTAATGGAGGGGAAATGCCCACCCTAAGTCCCGCTCATCTGGGGAGGGGAGCAGTGCTGGCATCTGTCATCTGACCAGGACCCCAAAGGAGTCCGTGGAGTTGGTCTTCCTTGAAGCTGCCTCAGGTGCCCTCTGTCCCCTAGGGCTGTGTATCCTGTGTGTGACATCATCAGTCAGGCTGGCCAATAGGAAATGTTTGTACACTCTGTCTGGTCACCTCCCAGCCCTCTCCCCTCTGTCCTGTGGGGACAGGGCAGTGAGGTGCTGGGCAGCCGCGCCCCTCCCCGTCCCCCGGCCTCCTTCCCAGCGGCATCCTGAGAGCCGCTTGCAGCCTCCGCCCAGCTCTCCAGAGCTCCCTGCAAAGGCTTCTCCTGGGCTTTCTCTGTCCTTCTGCTCCCTTGGGAAACGGCTAAGTTCTGAGGGGCGCCCCCCCTTGTCATGTAGGGGCCCTTCTAGCGGCAGTGTCCCCAAGAAATAGCTCTGAGAGGCGGCTTTGCTGTTCTATGCAGGGCAGCTGGTGGTGTGAGGTGGGGAACGGCGGGCACTGCTTAGTCTGGGGCTGAGCCGCCCTGCCCTCCCGGCCGCCAAACCAGCCCCCTCCGAAGAGGGAGTGTGTCAGCCTGTCCTGTGCCCTTCATCCTGGGGAGCCCTGAGGGTGGTCTCCAGGGAGCTAGCAGGGACCAGGGAAGCCTTTTATCATGGAAGGTTCGCAATCCTTTCTCAAAGGCAGAAGAATATAGTTAACCCTGGCACCCGTCACCCAGCCTCTGCAGTGGTCACCTACACCCACTCGTCAGGAGCTGAATGCAGCTCCCTGCTGGGTTTCGTGGTCTCTTTGATGACAGTGAACACTGAACCCAATGAAGTGAAAGGCATCCTGTACCCCTCCCCTGTTCCATTCCCATTAGTATACCTGTATTACCAAAAAATGTTCTCAAAGGTTATATTTTGAATTTCATCATCAAAAACGTTATGGAAACTTGTTTTCTCTTATACTGACATAATATCGATTTACCTCCTCTTAGCCTTTAAAGCCCAAAATAGGTCCCATCCAGCCCTTTGCAGAAAAACTGCCCACTGCTGAGTTAGACCTCTGTTACTCTTCCCCCTGGATTATGTTGAAGAAAATCCTAGAAAATAAGGACTTTTAAAAATAGTAAAAAAAGTATTTTGTTCGGAGCTTTGAAGCAGGAGAGTCATTCAGCTGAGCAGCCTTTGAACCCCTGCTGCCTGTTGGGCATGCGGCCCCCTCCCCCCCGCCGGCTCTGCCCCAGCCACTCAGGAACCAGAGCCCTTTGCTCTTGCCCCTTCCCTCCTGCTGTCCAGTTCCTGGAGACCTGCTGGACCCTTGGATCCCCAGGGCAGGGTGCTGGGGGTTGGTGTCCCGAGGGCCAGGTGCGGTGAGGGACCTCTACTGGCCCCGAGCCACGGTGGGTGGCGGCCTGCTGACTTACGTCACTGGGACTTTCCTGTCCTGGGAGGTGCAGCCTGACCTTCACCTCCATGGTGCCTTGAGGACCTCGCAGCTCCTTGGGGTCCCGCAAATTCCTCCGCACGTGTCTGCTGCTCTTCCTCTGATGAGGGCCCCACTTGTGGCAGCCTCAGCTTGCTGGTGCTCCCTGGGCCCGATTCCCAGCTCTGCCCCCGGAGAAGCCAGCCCCCAGGCAGCCTCACGTGGTGAATCCCTCATGCTGAGGTCCAGCCGGGATGGGGCCACCTCCCTGTGGCTTGGCCATCCTTTCTGGGCCCCCCGGCTCCTTCGCTCCCTGTGCAGATGGCCGGAGCCTGCGGCTGGTCCTCTGTTAATACCAGCCGCTGATGCTGGCTGGCTTCGCCTGGGTCACACATTGTGCTCTGTGCTTTGCCGTTGTCTCATTTGAGCCTCCCCACGGCTCTGAGGCCCCCGAAGCCTGGTTTCCAGGTGAGGAAATCAAGACTGAGAAATCAGACAGGGGCCCAGGGTCCTACGACTACTGGTGGGCTGAGCCGGGCTCTGGATCCCACATCCAGACATGCACGCTCTCGCCCCAGACACGCAGGTGGAGGGAGCCCTT